CTCGGTTCGCAACAAACAACTGCACCTCCCAGTCGCGAACCATTTCAACTCCCCCTCCCATTCCTCAGACGACATGTCCATCCTGGGCCTCCTGCAGTGCCACAACGATGCCACCCGAAGGTTGCAGGAACAGCAACTCATATTCCGCTTGGGAACCCTGCAGCCCAATGGTATCAATGTGGATTTCACAAGTTTCAAAATCTCCCCTCCCCCCACCGCATCCCAAAACCAGTCCAACTCGTCCCTGCCTCCCTAACCTGTTCTTCCTCCCACCTATCCCCTCCTCCCACCTCAAGCCGCACCTCCATCTCCTACCGACCAACCTCATCCCGCCCCCTTGACCTGTCCGTCCTCCCTGGACTGACCTATCCCCTTCCTAACTCCCTACCTACACTCACCTTTACTGGCTCCATCCCCGCCTCTTCGACCTGTTTGTTTCCTCTCCTCTATCCCTCTTCTATCTGCCTCCCACTCTCTCCCTATTTATTTCAAAACCCCCTTCCCCTCCCCCTTTTCTGATGAAGGGTCTCGGCCCGAAACGTCAGCCTCTCTGCTCCTATGATGCTGCTTGGCCTGCTGTGTTCATCCAGCCCTGCACCTTGTTGTCTCGGATTCTCCAGCATCTGCAGTTCCTACTATCTCTGAGCCAAAGTACCTTATTGGCTGTAAAGTACACTTAAAGATCCTGTGGTTGTGTAAGGAACAGTATAAATTTGAGATAACAAAGTGTAGAGCTGGATGAACAGAGCAGGCCAAGCAGCATCAGAGGAGCAGGAAGGCTGACGTTTTGGGCCTAGACCCTTCGCTGCTCAGACCAAGTGTAGTTTCTGTTCTATTCTGCTAGTTTCTGTTCTTATCAGCTTTAATATCTGATATGTCTTTTACTTAAGGACCCTATATTAAACTGATTTTTGGAGCAGGGAGTTGGCATCGGAGCTTGCTCCATCCACTCTATGCATTATCCTGGTATTGCACTGTTCCCAGGAATGGAAGAGAAAAAAAAATCCTTGTTATCTCAGATTCTCCAGCATCTGCAGTTCCTACTACCTCTGAACCAGTATAAATTTAAGCCTTTCTTTTCACACTTTTTAAAAATGGTGAAATGCTGAGTCATTTGAGACTTCCGTGTAATGAAGGGAAAAAGAAAATTAAACAATTTGATATTTTAAAAGAAAGTTCAGGTGTAACTTCTTGACTTGCAGCCAGTAGCTACTTCTACAATCTAAAAATGAGCTGGAGATGTACTTGATAGCTGCGTGGTTTTGAGCCATACATGTTTACCTACTGAATTTGGATTTGAGCAGCAATTGTGGAAAGAAGGGGATGTCAAGTGATAACTCTTGATTTCCCATTTTGATCTAGTCAGATGAATTTATTTTGGAGTCATTGTTGATCACTTCTGTAAATGGACTATCACATAAGCATAGCATATAAGATGTCTATCAGGTCTTTTGGCAGGAAACTGCTTACATTCATCAGGGAATCTGAGTTCAGCTGCCATAGCCTAATCCTTTTTAGTAGGGCCTTTACAAAGAGCTTGTATGTAATCACTTTTGATTATTTTTTGCAATTATTGCAATTACCTGTACATTCTCTCCTCACCTCCTTTACCTTGATGGAACTTTGCAAAGTCCCAGAGTTAAACTGCTTCTTGCCGATTATTTGAGACTATGTTCTCGTTCTGTGGGGAAAATTTGGTCGGTGATATGGCTCCTTTCACAAATTTCTTTCTGGGAAAGTAAAATCACTGAGCTATGTTTGTAATTATGGTGTAAACTTTTTCCAGACCATTTTAGCTTCTAGGCAAAGCATGTTAATGTTATATGCCAAGATTCTGTAGAAATTTTTGTTGTATAGATAGTTGATTATTTCCAATGATTGTATTCTTGAAATATAATCCCGAAAGAAATATTTCTTCTGGTAGGGGAAGATTTAGTGTAAAAAGTTGGATTTCTGTTCAGCATGTTGGGACACTGCTGAATGTTTGACAGAGTTTTGTTGGATGAAACAAATGTGCAAATAGCATTGAACTTTTTTTTTACAAAATCTCAAAGAATTGGAAAGCTAATTTTCTTGGTTCTGCAATATTCTTGTAATTCATGTAATTCTTTAGTCTTTACCTGTCAAGATAACAGGCAAATTATATTTGTCAATAGTATCCACGGTTTTGCATTGTCAGTGCATGTTGAAAGTAAATGTCTAGCATGTTCACTGGTCCTCCTATAATAGTTGAAGCAATTATTCCCATTGTATACTGTTTTATAATACTTGGCAAATAAAAGCAGTTACTATCTATCACCCTTGTGTATCCATCTTGGTGCACAAGTCCATTTTAGTTCCTGTTACAGTTTTAAAATTCAAATCTTTTGCCATCACCAGGACAATGCAGTAAAATGATAAACATATGTTTTGTTATGTGGGGAGAGATAGTAGGAACTGCCGATGCTGGAGAATCTGAGATAACAAGGTGTAGAGTTGGATGAACACAGGCCAAGCAGCATCAGAGGAGCAGGAAAGCTGAAGTTTCAGGTCTGGATCCTTCTTCAGGAAAAAAAAATTCCTTTTTCTGAAGAAGGGTCCAGACCCGAAACATCAACTTTCCTGCTCCTCTGATGCTGCTTGGCCTGTTTTGTTATGTCTTTTGTTATCCTGCTACAACTACCAATACTTTTACAACTTTGAGAGGAAGAAGTTGCACAACATTACAAAAATATTCAGTCTTTCTTTTCCCCCCCTCTGGTATATCTGTTGCATAGCTGTTCACCATGACCGCTTTGGTGTTAGCACGGTTTTCTCATTGTCTGCAGCTTGAAGGTGATTGAGAAGCCCACATGGTCTGCTTTGCAAAGATTAAAGTCCTGAAATCATCAGCTATCTGAACAAAAGTTACTCAAAGTGGAGCTAGGATTTGCCATCATATTATTTTTAAGTTGGACTGCAATTTTGTTTTTTTTTGTTCTCAATAAGATGTTGTTATAATTTTTATATCTTTCTAAGGTTTAAAACACAGTCGGAGAATCAAGTTTCCAAGCTGGCAACAAGAGTTCCCATCAGTGGCAGGAGCTCTAAAGGACCCAGGAGAAAAGTGAGGGTGGCAAAGAGGAAAGGATTTAATGACAGATTGCATTTTAAGTGCCAGTATCAAAATGGGGCAACTTTGGTCATTGCCTGCTGAGATTATGAGCAACATTGATGTAATTTGCTGATTTAGTTGACTATCTGGCTAAGTGAAGGAAATGTGTTTAAAAGGCAATCTTGAACACTTCCAAGACCTTTAATATTTCAGTCTCACTGAAAACTATTTTCACAACTCGGATTGCGCAACTTTTTTTTGCTTCTGACTGGACTTTGTTGTGCTCATGTTTTCAAATTTCCATCTGTGCTTATTTCTTTTAATATCTCAATGTTTCAAAGAACTAACTGCTTTTAAAGTTGTATTAAACATACACAATCTCCTAAGAGGGCTGCAGGTTAATTGAAATTTGGATTACAATTATGCGCTTGGCTAGGCCCTTTCAAATCTAGCCATGTTATTATCCAGTGGATTGTGCTGTTCAGTACAGCTGCAGCAAAGTGATTGATTTGGCTAAGAAATAGTTCAGCAAGTAGCAATGCAGTGCCTTGAAAAGCAGCAGAATTGATTTTTTTTTTTTGTTTTGAATATTTTATAATAGCAATATGTTGCTTGTAATTGGGTCTTTACCTCTCCAAGTTTGTGACTTGTGTATATCATTGAGTTGCCTTATCTGATTGCAGTGGTTGCCAAGAAAGGATTAGAACTGTTCTGTAGTTAAACATGATGTAGTAGTATATGCCAGAGCCCTTTTCAATTCTGTTACAGAATGTGTTTTTGGCATTATTAGTCAAGTAAGGAGAGGAAACAGTTCCTTCCAGTGTCGTCATGTGGGCAGTCTGTTAAAAGGCACTTTAATCAACTGTTTGAAAAGATTTTTTAAAAAAAGTTTGGATTAATGTAAAAATGTATTTTTATGGCTGTTGTGTTGGTATTCTGTTCTGCACTTGAAAATGCGAATTATGAAAATGATATATCTGGCTAGGTTAAATCCAGACTTAAGTGTACCTCTCTGCAATATCTATAAACCACAACATAAATAATAAACATGAAATAACTGCTACCATATTTCCCATCTCCGTTAAATGGTGAAATGGTGGATGTGGTGGGGGAGAGGTGTGTGTCCATTAGCTGAGTTGGCTGGCTGGTTTCGATAAGTGCCATGCCAACAGCATGGGTTCAACTTCTGTACTGACTCAGGTCACCATGAAGGGCTCTCCTCCTCAACCTCTCCCCTTGCCTGAGGCATGGTAATCCTCAGGTGAAACCATCACCAGTCATCTCTGAGAGAGCAGCTCTATGGTCCAGTGAGATTGTGGCGCCACATCCCTGCATAATGCAGTCAATGCTTTCTGTGCTCGGTTCGAACAGAATGCCAGTGACAGTGTCACTTGCCTCCGCAGCCCCGGATGCACCTGTGCCCACTGTCACCACTGCAGACATTTGATTGATCTTCCTGGGAGTCAATCCAAGGAAAGCGACGGGCTGGGACAGAGTCCCCAGATGAGCACTTCGATCCTGTGCAGACCAACTGGCAGAGGTATTCACTGACATCTTCAACCTTTCTCTTCTACAAGCTAAAGTCCCCACCTGCATCAAGAAGACCATAATCATCCCCGTACCTAAGAAAGCACGTGCAGTGTGCCTTTAGGACTACCGTCCAGTGGCTCTGACCTCCATTATCATGAAGTGCTTCGAGAGACTGGTCATGGCCCACATCACCTCTAGTCTCCTGGCTTGCCTTGATCCTCTACAATTTGCTTACTGACATACAGATCTACAGCGGACACCATTTCCCCAGTCCTGCACTCATCCCTGGAACATCTGGACAACTAGGGTGCCTACGTCAGACCCCTGCTCATCGATTACAGCTCCGCCTTCAACACTACTATCCCCTCCAGACTGATGTCAAAACTCTGAGACCTTGGTCTCGGCTCCGCTGTTGGATCCTCAGTTTTCTGACCCACAGACTGCAATCAATGAAGATCGATGACTCCTTCATTATAGCACCTAACACTAGCTGCCCCCCACTCCCCCACCACGGAAGTTTGCTGATGATACCACCCTACCAGGGTAGGATATATATCTAACGACAAGTTAGAATCCAGAAAGGAGATAGAGGGTTTGGTGATGTGCTGTTACAAAGTTGTGTAGCGTAATCTTGAATTGGAAGGTAGAAAGCTCGAATTCCTTTAAAATAAAGGAATATGTGTCCCCTTTAAGAGGTAAAGTGCTTTTCTAAGCTTAGAGATTTATACAGAAAATGTGTCTGAGCAGCTGAAGAGATACATTCTGTTCTGAAATTAAAATGTGTATCAATTGGCTGTGATTGGGAAACTTAAGCTTGTTTTGATGTTTTGGCAACAAGCCATAATCCACCAATTAATTTACACCAAGCCCTTCACGATTGAAAGCAAGTTGAATTTAAATCTGATGGGTTTGACAATCTCGGACCAATGCAATTGTAAGAAAATTGATATTCCGTCCAAGGTATATAAGGAGCGGGTTTTTGAAAATCGGTGTGAGAGCGAACCGCCATCTGAGAAATAAGCATCTAGCTCTCACAAGCAATTGCTAAGCTCTCTAAGAGCACCTTCTATCCATAAAAGGTACCATGGCACTTCTAGCTAGGAGTCCTCACAGAAGACTTCACAGAGAAAACTTCTCTGACAGCCGGATCAGCAGAAGAACAGTGTTTGTGGTTTGAGAACAACAGAAGAAAAGCGTGTAGACTTTGAGAGACTGTTTTAATTTATGTTCTTATTGAGATTATGTAAGTGGAACTTGTGTTTATTTTGGAAGGATGTACCAGTAGAATTTAGTTCAGTTAGGGAATAGTTAGTAGTTAAGGGGAATTGTTCGGTTTGTTAGTAATTCTGTTAATTTGTTCACTGTTAGGGTTAAATAAATAATTTGTTACTTGTTTG